TTCCTGGACGGCTTCCCTTTTGCCTTTATAAGGCTTTTTCCTTCTAGCACAACCACCAAACCTTGCCTGTGCCTTTCAGTTAAAAAAAAAAAGTCTCAGGCGGTGGTAATAAACACATAGGAAAGCAACAAAGTATACGTGAACTTCTCTGCCTTCCCAGCTTCATCTGTGCACCTGTTCCACACGCCCAGTTCTCTACTTTAGCATGACCTTGTACTCAGTCCCTTCTCTGGAGTCCATGACGAGAGAGTTTCTGGAAGCAGACGCCTGCTGGAACGAAATGCAGAGCTGGAAGGAATAACGCATGTCCAGAGCCACGCAAGGCAGGAAAGTTCCTGTGCAGGGAGTGCCCAGGGAAGAGCCAGCACTCCTGCGGCCGCTCCAGCAGGGGGCGCCCAGCTCTCCGGACTCCCAGCCCTGCTACCTTGGCATTCAGGCTTGCTCAGCACATTAGGGCGCAGCTTGGCATTCAGAACCCAGGGCAGGGCTAGGAAAGCGCGTGAGAGGGGCTGCAGAGGGATTTTATGGACACTGGGAACCCAATGACCGCAGCTGCCTGGATGAGACCAGGTACTTCAGGGTGAGAGTCCTGAAAGCGGGAATGGGAAAGAGCTACAAAAGGAGCTCCTGACTAAGAAAGAGATAGCATTAAAGAGACCGAAAGAGGAGGCAAATCACATGGAGGTTGCTACTCTCCGTTTCTGAACCTTGTGCTGGACTCAAAGCCGCCGCCCAGGACAGCATCCGAGAGGGGGGAGCTCTTCTCTCTGCACTGTCCAACATGCTGGCCACTGGCACCCAGAGTGGACGCACACTTGAAACAGGGCTCACTGATACAGAAGCAGGCCCATTGGGCTGGGGGCTACCATGCTGGGTAGTGCAGCTCTAGAGATCCAGTGATGAGGAGCATGCCCCAGTTTCCTTGCAGAGGGGTTCACTGGCTTGGGCACATACGCAGGGGCCCTGGGGACACTGAAAGAGGAAGGTCGACATTCAGGTCCTAGAAGAGTTCCCCGCAGTTGGCCCACTTGCAAACAGGGGTGAAGAGCAGGGTCCCGCCGAGCCTGGATACACACCATCAAAACAGGAAGACCCTTCACTGTCTTCAGAAGCCCACCCTTGCTGAGAGGCTGGGCAGGCACCTGCTTCGTCTGGGGCCCACAGGCCTGAGCCAGTTATGAAGGGATCCTTTGCACACCCGAACCAGATCCCAGTCCAGGAGTGTATCCCCCTGACCTTGCCAGGGCTGAGAAACAGCAATGAGGATGGCATGGCTGCTGCCCTTGCAGGACTTGTCCATGGCCAGGATCCCGACCCTGTGAGCAGGAGGACACACAGGGGAGAGTCTGGGCCTGAGAATTCCAACAGCCTTGTAGAGAAACTCCAACAGATGTCCCCCAGGCCATAAAGAGAGCAGCAAGGACCAGCTGAGCTCTAGGCTCTGCCCCCATCTCTGCGGGCCTCGCCCCGCACTGAAGCCGGCGCCCTCCCCACTCCCACTGTCCTAGAACGTGCTATAGCAACTGCCCTAGCCCATGAAGCCGCCCTTCCGTGTGTATGCGTTTCTGGGCCAATCTTTGGAGACCTGACTTCGCTTCCCTGCCTCTCGCCCGCTCCTGTCGGTGAAATTGCTAAAGTCTTAGAAGGAAGTACCTGTCCTGGCACACAGGTAGTTGGAGAAGACAAGAGAGGAGAAGGAAGACCTACTGCAGTCTTGTAGGGAGACCCCCAGGTGGTGCTCATGCCAGCCGCAGCCTCATATCCAGCCTCATCCCCACTCAGAGGAGCACCAATAATGGGAAAGGGACGTCACTACCTGGTGGGCTCCATGGGTGAATGCAGCACTTTGCAGATTGACTGACATGATTCATGTTCTCAAAAGACACTCAGTAATCCTTAGCTGTACCTGTTTAAGTTAGGCCACTGTGAGCCCGCTGGGGCCATGGGCTCTGGGCCTCTGCCTCAGTCTGTCCCCTCTGCCCGGCAAGCCCGGCTCCCCCTGATTCAATTGTCCTTCCAGAAAGCCTTCGTCACCTCCCGTATGGGTGACACGTCGCTCAGCTGGGATCCCACAACACTGGTGCGCCCCCATCAGACCCAGGCAAGCCCTGGGACTGCACATCACCCAGAGCTTGTGTCCTGGGCATGGACAATCCCCAGTGTGGACACTGGCAGCCTGGAGCTCCCTGAACTGTCACCTGGCTTGGGAACAAATGTTGGGGTGCCTTGAGATGGGGCTCTATCCCTCCATAGCAGACAAAAGGAGCTGCCCTCAGCTCCATCATGCCTGTCCCCCGTCTGCCCCCACCGTGTAATCATTGGTACATGGCAACTCGGGCCTCCTTGGCTGCCAGGATCCCAGAGGCTTTTGGTGGTTGGTGTTGAAAGTATTTTCTGGAGGTGAATTTGGTTTGATGGAAACCTCGGGAGGATGAAGCCTGGCCACCCCGTACAAGCCCACACAGAGCCTGTGCCCCTGACCAATAGGGCAGCGCCCCAGCCTGTGGCCGCCCTCCCCCTCGTGCTCAGAGCTCTCCTCTCTCCCCTGCTCCCCAGCCAATGGTGTTTCTCTCTCTTCCTGCAGGGAGAGCCCCCAGTGTTCTCTCTCTGAGGATCTGTCTTCTGTGCCTGGGGAGCTCCATCTTGGGGCAGAGAGGACAGGGGTGACTGGCCATGGCCTCCCATACAGGTTCAGGTGAAGTGGACTCCCCCTCACCTGCCGCTGGGGGAGGACAGGGGTCTCCCCCTTCTCCTCACATGGTGTCTTGAGCGGGAAGTGCAGCCCCCTCTCTCGCACAAGCTGAACTTGAGGGACACCACGGTTGGGGCAGGCAGGGGCAGGGGGTCACTGCTGGAGGAGCCTGAGGGCTGTGGAGGGGCTATGCCCAGTGCCAACGCCTCTCGCTGAGGCTCAGTCCATCCTGCAGCTCCCATGGGCACCCAGTGTGCTTTCTAAAGGTCTCTCGTGCTCACAGAGGTGCCAGTGGTTCTCGCTGTCGCCACTAACCCTACATCCGGATGAACGCACGTCTGTAACTCACTGACCCGCGCTGCCATCCGAGGTTCCTCCCTGAGGCGATGGGTGCCAGCCAGGATGGCCAGGGCGCAAGCAGACAGGAGGGGCCCGACATGCAGCCCTCGGCTGCCTGGAGCACGGCCTGGTTGCTCGAGTTAGAAGCTGAGTTATGGCGCACGAGGGGCTGGAGCGGCTGGGGCGCGTCCCGGGACGGGCCTGCGGGAGGTGTGTCCCAGGACTCAGGGCAGGGATGCTTGTGGGGGAGGACCCATGAGGGGGCTGTGGGCAGGCTCTTCCCTGCTCTGTGGGTCACTGCCGGGGACCCTGACGGCCTCACTGCCGGCTTGTCCTCCTCATGATTTCAGGGCTCATCTCGAGTCTCCGGGGTCCCTCCTTTCCCAAACAAGGCTCCACCTTAATAAAGAGAGCATAGATAGAGGAGTCTGCGGCCAATACTCCAGAAATGTGGCTCAAGGGGGTTCCATCTGTTCCTCTAGGAATCGGGCCTAAAGAAACAGAGATTTATGGCACGGATGTACTTTTCAGTGTAATTCTGAGAGGCAAATCCGTATAAATGGCTCAACTGCACTCAGAGGGAAAGGACTAGAAGATGGACTCATGTGTTAAGGGTGATTATTTCTTGGGAGAAGGAATGTGTCTTCTTTTCTTCATATTCAAATGATTATTTTACTAAATAAACATAATCTGGCTAATACCTAAAGAACTGTTTACTTTAGTACCAAATATATTAGTAGTAAATGGGAAGATTTCATGTGAGATTTTAACATTTTTATAATATGCACATTACAATAAGATAAACGTGGTCTATTCAGGAAAATGAAAGAATTTAAAGGTGTCTCAAGGACCCAGACATTTCTCTTGTGGTTTCTGCCTTTCGAGGCATCCTTATAAATGGGAACCTATCCCACATAATGAAAAGACTTCATTTTGCGGCTTCCCAGGATCTTTGCATTGTCAGGAACATTCCTTTGTAATAAAAATGTTATTTTTATAAAAAAGTGAAAAACATTATGAATCACTCTTCTGTTCTGTAACCAGACACAAAAGGCCATATTGTAGGATTCCAGGCACAGGAAAATCCCAGAACAGGTAAACATCAGAGACAGGGAGAAGAGCAGTGGTCTCTGTGATGGGAATGTTCTAGAAGTGAATGGTTGAGCAACACTCTGAGTGTACCTCATGGCACCTGGATATACAATTGAAAAGGATCAGAGGGGCGCCTGGGTGGCTCCAGTCCTTAAGCTTCTGCCTTCTGCTCAGGTCATGATCCCAGGATCCTGGGATCCAGCCCCACAGCAGGCTGCCTGCTCAGCGGGAAGCCTGCTTCTCCTCTCCCACTCCCCCTGCTTGTGTTCCTGCTGTCGCACGCTCTCTCTCTCTGTCAAATCAGTAAATAAAATCTCTATTAAAAAAAAAAAAAAAGGAAAAGAAAAGGATCAGAGTAAAATGTTATGTAAACTCAGATTCTACTTTATTTAACGAACAAAGTACAGGAAGCCATTATACAGGTGCATACAGACCAGAAACACTACAAAGAATGCAATGCCAGGGGAGGGGAAGCCGTCCTTCGGGGCTGTAGCCAGCACGAGCTGCTGCTCGGGGGCCGGGGCTGGTTGCTCCACTGGGGCAGGGGGCTGCTCGGGCCCGGCGGCGACCCCAGGACCAGGGCCTGGACCCTGCTCGACCTCCGGGTCGGGCATCGGTGCGGGTGGCTCTTCCAGCGGAGGAGCGTGAACGAGCGCTCTGACTAGCACCTGTGCCGGCGCCCACGGGGCAGGGGGCGCCCCTGCTCTCCCTAGTGGCTGAGCCCCCGCAGCAGGGACGGGCTCGGCCCGCGGGGGCTCTGAGGCGACAGCAGGGGCCACAGCGGGAGCTGGGCCCAGTTCTTGCGCTCCTTCCGGATCTCGCTCCGGGGCCGGTGCTGTAGCTCCAAGAAGAGAAAGTATCGTCGGCCTGATGGGCTTCCCACGTCCCTCCTAAGTGAAGGAAACTTTTCCCCCCGCTCAGTGCTGTCTGAGGCCAGGATCCGATCCCTGGGAGGTCTCCCCGGACGGCAGGCCATGGGGACAGGGATCTGGGACTACGCACTGCTCCCGGCCCAACCGCACTCTATGGAGGCTTGCTCTGCGTGGCCCGCCCGGTCCCCTCCACGGGCCCTCGCCAGGCACCCCCGGCCCTCCTCACCCCCAGCCTCTGGCTCCGGGGGCTCCAGGCTTTGCAGCTGTGACAGCAGACGCTGGGCACGGCGTTCCAGGTCCGAGCCTGGCATATGGAGGCCCATGTACTTGAGCAGCACGTTCAGGCAGGGAAAGTCTGGGGGCTGGAAAAAATCCTGGCGATATTGGTCCAGCCATGTGCCCAGGATGGAGGAGATGGCCCTGGGGACAGACAGGTAGGCAGGGAGTCAGAGGACAAAGCACCCTCCCACACAGATGTCCCAGGGAACCCCTGAATGTCAGAGACCGGGCCTACTCCTTGTCCACCTGTGATCTGGAAGGACTGCCTGACACAGGCCTGGTCACAGAGGACAGGCTGCCAAAAGCCTTTGTGAGGGGGAGCCCTTGATCAATGGTGTGGCCATTTCTGTCCTTGTTGGGGGAGTCCGGGCACACTCGTCAGTCTGTGTCCTTGCCCACTTGCCACTTGGATTCAACTGCATGTGGCCAGGGAGGGGCGGTGTCGGGCCTGTTCATTGCCCTCACTGCACACACACTGCTCTGTGAATATCCAGCCAAGGAGGGAGCAAAGGGACTCTGTCTCGTGCCAGGCCTTCCCAGGACCCTCCCAATACCTCCAGCTTTACCTCCGGTGCCTAATGCTGCCTCATTCACTAGGTGCCATGAGTGGGTCTCTTTCCACTCACACTCATCTCCCACAGGGTGGGGGACGTCTGTCCCTGAGCTCTCACTGGGTCTCCTGAGCACCTGCTGAGCACCCAGTGTCCAGGTTCCACCAGATCGCTGAGTGTCATGGCCCCACACTCCTTGTTGTGGGTCCCGGGAGTGGGGTAGAGACAGGGCTGGGAGGGGGCAGGGATGGGCATTGACTCTCTTAGGGGCTGAAGCTGTCCTCCAGCCCCCTCTGCTCTCCCACAGTGCCCACAGCCCACCCACAGCTCCCCTTTTTCCCAGATTCCTAAAACAGGAGCCGCAGATGTGTGGGATGAGGGCCCAGCAGCCCCCCATCTCACAGTCCCCTCGCTGCCCTCCTGGGGAGGGAATTCCCTCCTGCAGTAGCCGAAGCTCACTCACATGTTCCGCTGCTCCAGGCCTCCGCCGAGCTCATCCGAAGTAGAGGGAATGCCCCCATATCTAGAGGAGGCCAGAGGGGCACCACATGAAATGTCCTGTGGACGCCACTTCTCATCATGTCTAGCGTCACTGTCTGACCCCCGACTAGTCTGGAGCCCTGGGGCGCTGTCTGCTCTGTGCAGGGGTCAGTCAGCTCCTAGGGAAGCGCCTGCACTGAGTGGGGCTTCCTGAATGCTTGATGAATGGAAGGGCCCCAACCACCCCATCCCAGATATCTGAGTGGGCCTGGGCCCCCTGCTCAGCCCCAGGCATCCCTGCTCTGGTTTCACCCAGGACACGGACCCCAGAGGGAGTCTCAAATCTCCCTTTCAAATGGCAAAACAGCCCAGCTCGAGACCATAGTGACAGTGAGGGATGAGGCAGAGGATTCCTCGTGAGGAGCAGGACAATGATAAATGAGCACAACCACAGCCCCTCTAGCAGGCCTTTCTGCAGGCCCAGGCCCCCAGGTGTACTTTCCCTAAAGGACACCACCGAGTCCCTATAATAAGTCTGCCCCAGTCAGAGGAGCAAAGCGAGGCTCGAGGAAGTTTGGTGACATTCCCAAGACTCACAACCAGGCGGTGGCCAGATCTCACTGGGCTGTGGAGGGGCAGGGTGCTCACGTTGTAAAGAAGAGGTCCAGCACCTCGGGGTGGTGGCAAAAGCTGTGTACGTGCCTAGGAATGTGGAGATGTGGCTGAGGTCTCTGCCTACGAAGGCGGGCACCAGGTGGTATTGGCATCTCCAGCAGGTCAGCCTGGTTGGTCCAGAGCTCGCGGGTCTCATTCTTCTCTGTGGCTGAGCTGTTTTTACCCTGAGGTGAAACGGAGGAGACATGCACTCAGCTCTGTAGCCACCAGGAGGGTTGGGGGTGGGAGCGCAGACCAAATCCCCAAGATCTCAATGACTTATGGCAACAGGTGGGACAAGAGGGCCCATAGTAGAAAAAACAATGAGGTGCCTGGGTGGTTCATTGGGTTAATCCTAAGACTCTTGGTTTTGGCTCAGTCACGATCTCAATGTCTTGAGATCGAGCTCCTCGTAGGGCTCCGTACTTAGGGGCAGAGTCTGCTTGAGGAGTCTGTCTCTCCTCTGCTTCTCCCCCTCTCCCACTGCCTCTCCCTCAAATCAATCAATCAATCGACCAATCAGTAAGTCTTTCAGGAAAAAGAAAAAAGGTCCTTGGCATCCATACAAGGAATTGAAGTTGATGATGTCGGAACATGTTTTATGTCAGGTCAGCTTGTTAGCTGAGTATGGACACCACCTCCCCGCATGAACGGCACCGATCCCGTGATCTCTGACAACATACCCCATTCTTGACATGAGAGCACAGACACATTTTCTTAGGTGAGAGGGCTCAGGATAGTAGGGCATGTAGGATGTTTAGTGCAGCACTGTGAGTTGGCCACAGAGGGGAGTCCCATCAAAGCCCTGCATCAGTCAAGGCCTCAGTGGCTGTGGTAACCGACTGGCCTTCTGGAATGTTGTACAATGAGGCCCCTGCCCCTGACTCTGTAGGGGCCCCAGGGATGTGGATTTTCACAACCAAAGGGCAAAGCAGGAGACACAGTACCATGAGCCCCATGTCCCTTTGGGGAAAACTCTCCCAACTCACCATGATCATGTGCAAGATTGGAGAAGATGGGGAAGGACTGTTAGGCCAAAGGGGACACCCGGAGGACTAGTTAGCAAAATGCATAGCACAGTGCAAGACGATTCTAGCTGAATGGGATGAGACATGGTTTCAAGTCTCTTTTCTGATATTCCTACAAATACGTGGACAATGATGGTGCATCTGGCCCAGGCAGGGGCAGGGCCCTGAGGGCAAGTTTGGGGAGGAGATGAGGATGCAGATTCAGATGGAGCAGGACTGTGGGAGGGAGCCCAGGGCATTAGCAGGCTGGCTTCTGGGACCTGAGGCCCTTTTGCTGCATCGGGGCCCTGGGGGGTGGGTCAGCCCAGCACCTGCACTCACCCTGAGCCAGCGCTGGACTCTGTTGCCAGTGCGGGGCACCTTCCTGTCCTTCACGGAGGGAGCGCGGAGGCCCTCATCGTCCAGCTCCTGCCCCGTCTCCTGTCGGGAGCTCTGTAGAGACAGTGCCAGGCAGCCAGGCACGAGGCCTCAGAGCCCTGTGCGGCTACCTTTGCTGGGCCTCGGACCCAGGGACTCCACTCCACACACACACCACACCACAGGATGCACAGCCCTCCACCGCGGAGAGAAACGTGACACAGCCTCAGGGCCTTGGATTCACTCTGGCACAGGTGAGAGGCCCTCAGGGATCCTCATCGCCCGCCCCCCCCACCCCCATCCACCATGACGTCGGTGTGAACATGAAGGCACCGCCAGGGCATCCGCTGCCCTGTGACGTCCTCCAGCCCAGGGGCAGGACCTCCCCACACATCCCTCCTTCCCGGAAAGTCAAGAGGAGGGGATGGGGCTGCCCTGGGGTGGCTCAGGGAGGTGGCTTGGCCTGGCCCGGCCTTCTCTGTATTACCTTATGGCCCCTCGTGCCAAACGCCCTGAGGCAACGGGGGCGAGCCTTGAGCCAATGTCTGCAGCAGGTGAAAAAGCCCTTACCCTGGGGTTTCTGGAAGCCAGAGCCCCAGGAAGTAGGCAAGCAACAAGAGAACATCTTTCACGATCGGATGTCTCCAGTCAAGTGACCCTGATACGGGACTACAGTAGAATGTGGGTGCCTGGTCACGGGGCTTCCAAGTTCTGTTGGGGTCTGTGGTCAAGGAAGTGACTTCACTGCCTGGGATCCCCTACCTGGGTCCACTCCTGGATTGACACCCCCACCAACAGTGCTCTGGGCTGCCGGCTGCTCATCCCCGGTCTGCATGCAAGGCCACATCTGTGCCCAGTGACACAGTGCACCCCTCACCACAGCCCACAGGCAAGGTCTGGGTGCAGCCAGGGCCCCAGCTTGGAAACACACCCGGCGTCAGACACAACTCTCCACTCTTACCTGGTCTGACCCTGCCTAAGCCACTGTGCTTGTCAGGGATGGTCTGTGCCTGGTCTGTCCAGTGCACAGTATTCCAGCACGGACTTCCTCCAGACGTCCCAGGCATATGTGGGATGATATCTATGAAACTGGAGGAGTGGTGTCCCATGTAGGAAATACCTCCAACCACATTTTCTTCCTCTTCTCACCTTCTCTGAGTCCGCTACTGGTCAGATTCCACCCCACAGTCCCTACTGGTGTGTGTGTGTGTGTGTGTGTGTGTGCGCGTGTGTGCGTGTGAGCAGGTGGACGCTCAGCATGTTGTGCACGTGTGTACACCAGGGCTCACACTCTGGAGACCCAGAAGAGGGCAGCCCCTCCGACAGAGGGATGGGCAATAGCTTCCCAAGATCTTAGGCTTCCTAATTTCCAGAGCAAACCCTAAAGAAGGCGGTGGAGCCTTGGCCCTTGAAGGTCAGAATCCACCCTTACCCCTAGAGTCTGCCTGTCCTGTGCTGCGAGCCATTACCTCCTTTCCAATGGGTGTGATGTGGATGGGGGGCCACTCCGTGGGTTGCCGTGACCTGGCTCCTCCTCAGACAAGAATGTGCTGGAATGCCTCCTGTAGGATATCAATGCTCACCCTCACCCCCACACCATCTCCATGTCTGTAGCCACTTACTTCAACATGACCTTTTCCAGAGCCCCCACTGAATGCTGAGGTGCATCCAGGGCCCCAACTTTGAGGACATTCAAAGATCTGGGTTCGTGCCTGGTCCAGCCTTCCTACAAGTCCTTGATTCTGGGCAAGGCACTGACCCGGCAGGGGTCTTCCCCTTCTCCCCTCAGGGGCTCCCGCCGATCCCCAACTCCTGTGTACACATCCTTGTGTAACCCCCTCCCCTGGAGTGTGATCTGGACGTAGTGATTCACTTCCATTCCACAGAACATGGCAACACGACCCAAAGCCCCTTCCGAGATTCGGTTAGAAAAGCTCCGTGCCCGGCCCCGTGCTGACCCTGACCCGTGTTCTCTCAGATCCCCACACTGGGGAACAAGCCCCTATGTGGAACCATGACACAGGCATGTGCACGTGGCCTAGCACCGAGGGCCAACAACAGACAGAAGAACTCAGGCCTTCGAGATGGACTGAATCCTGCCAACACCCCTAAGTGAGCTCGGGTTCTAAGTGAAGCAGGTCCTGCCTTGGTGTTGTCAACAGCCCCAACCTCCTGAGAGGCTCTGGTAGGAGCCCCCAGCTGAGCACTGCTGGGGTCCTGATCCCCGGAGACTGTGCCCCAGTGAGTGTTTGTGGGCGAAGCCACCGATTGTGGGGAGATGTGGTGTGACCCAGCACTAGGAGCAGGGCGCTGAGACTGTCCACCTGCCCCTGGCCCTGCCCCTCCTCCTCTCCCTCTCTGCTCTCCTCCTCAGCTTCCTCCAGCCACCCTGGCCTCCTTTCTAACCTCCACTCTGGCAACATCAACTTGGGCCTCCACTCCTCTGCAGCGTGGTGCCCTCTGCTGGCTGCATATACTTGGATTTGTGCTGGGGTGTCTCCTTGGCCTGCCTCAGGAAATCTCAATGTCACCTGAGCACGGCCTTGTCAGACCCCTCACCTGCCGGAGCTCGGGACCCAGCTGTCGCCCCTGCTCTCTTCCTATGGAGCAACTGCTCTTTTCATTCACGTTTTTCATTCATGTTTGTCCATCTTCTCTCTAGACCCTGAGCTCCTAGAGGGAGAACCCGGGTGGCTGAGAAGCACCTGCCTCATCTGAGTGCTCAGGGCACAGCGGCTGATGAACAGGCCAGAGGATCCATCCCACCACCGACCAGCTCAATTGTTGGAGCCTAATTGATTTGGGCCCTTTGGAAGGGCTTTTTTCCTTTTGTTTTGTGTTTTCAGTAAACTCTGTGTTCGATGTGGGGCTCAAACTCACCACCCCGAGATCCAGCGCCACGTGTCCCACTGACTGAGGAAGCCAGGTGCCCCTTTGGTCATTTTTAAAGCTACTAGGCTGATAACTATTGAGGTTAACTTGGTGATTTCAACATTTAGCAGGTATATTTCGTTATGCTGAATTACCAAGTATCTCCCCAAGTTCGGTAGCATGTCACCATGGATTCCCCCACATGACAGCGCTGAGTGGCTGTTCAGATGGGAGATGGAACGCCTTCCTGTGGTCACTCAGGACCCCAGAGTCCCTGCACCGTGGGCCTTCTCCCTCCCTGGGAGGTCATGTACCTCTGCAGCCATGAGCACAAGGGGGAAGGTGACAAAGATATACATACAGGAGAGTGTTCCTAGCCAGGTCTAAAAGGCTCAAAATGTCCACCATCATCCTCATGCTCAATCTTTTACTTTTCGGGGGGATTTTATTTATTTATGAGAGAGGAAAGAGAAGAAGTAGGGGGGAGAGGCAGAGGGGGAAGTAGAACAAGAGAGATGCTGGGGTGAGGAGGCCAGGGGGTGACTGGTGAGGGCCTGTGGAGGGAACAGCTTGGGCCACGCAGAGCAAGACTTCATCGACTGTGGTTGGGCCGGGAGCAGTGAGTAGTCCCAGATCCCTGTCCCCATGGCCTGCAGCAGCATCACCACCACCACCACCATCACCAACATCACCACCACCACCACCACCACCATCATCATCATCATCACCACCACCACCACCACCACCACCATCATCATCACCATCACCATCATCACCACCACCACCATCATCATCACCATCATCATCATCATCACCATCATCATCATCATCACCATCATCATCACCATCACCATCATCATCCCCACCCTCACCACCATCATCATCATCACCATCATCATCACCATCACCATCATCATCCCCACCCTCACCACCATCATCATCACTATCATCACTATCTCCATCACCATTACTATCAGGTATTATCACCGTCATCATCATGGCACTGTGACCTGAAACAGTCAAGGTCCTTCTATCTTCACTGTCCCCTCTGGCATCAGGGCCCACCTACCAGGAACACAGAAAGAAGCTGGGCTGCTGCTTCCTAGGTTCACCAAGTTCAGAAGTTCTGGAGTCAACAGAGCAGTTACCATAACAAAAAGTCATCCATCCCAGAAAATCTGCCAGAAGTTTTCTACTTTTCTCCCTATGTGTGGAATGGGAGCCAGATTTCATTAAATGAAGCTGGCAACTGAGAGAGATTAAAAGGGAATTTGAAGACACAGTTGGCTGGCTGCCCACAGCCCCAGCTGCCCTTCTCTGGAATCTGGGAGAGGCCTGAGTGATAGGCCAGGTCTGAGTTTCAGAAGAGGAGCCTGAAAAGCTCCATATCTTTGAGGTTTTGATGGGAAAGCTGGTTGGGTTTTTTGTTCTCTTAGAGCTTTGCTCTTTGGTGAACCCCCCCCCCCAAACACACACACATGCCCCCCAGGTGTTCACACCTTGGCAGATGTAACTTGGCTTCTCTTTGCACTATGCTGACTGAGTTTTAAGTGGTAATTCTTCTCTTTAATAAAAGAAGATTATACAAGTTCCCAGGAATTTTTCACAAAGTAGAAGGAAATGGATGCACTGCGGTTCCTTTGAGAAAAGTCAACTTGGCACATACAGCAGACAGGGCCACACTGATCACCTGGGCAGAGACTGGGTCTTCTGGGGGGCCTTGCAGCCTTATTCTTCACCCAGGATGCCTTTTAGAGTACATTCCTGAAGAAGACTGGGATTGGGGCTTATATCAGGCTTCTCTCTGGGAACTGGAGACTGGGGCAGGTATGGGTACAGCTGACCCAAAGGTAGCCCCAGACCAGATAGTTGATTTAAGATGAATGTGGGCAGCACCCATCTGGGTTTGTGATTGAGGGCAGTAGAAAGAGCCTCAGGTCAAGGTCAGGGGACTCAGCTTTCTTCTAAGCCTGCATCTCACTGGGCCCATTTTCTCACCTCTCTGTGCCTTTACCCTTCAGAAAATGAGGAAGTTGAACCAGATTAGTAGTTCTTAAACTGTGCTCTTTGTGCTCTTCAGTTTGTACAGGGAGCCTCAGGGGCTGCCTGTGGGGCAAGCTGGAGAGAAAAGGGGCCCTAGGATCCCCATCACCACCACTTAACCACTTCTGCAGTTAACAGAGATGCTGAGCAGGGGCACCTCTCAATCCTTCGCCCCTTCTCAAGGACTTACAAAGTACCCACTACATGCCAGGCACTGTGCTGGACACCAAGACCACAGAGGAAGAGACCAACCAGGTCCCTGCTCTCATGGCCTTAGAGTTGGCTGAGGAGACACCAACAATCTGTGAACAAACAAATAAGATAAATACCAATGGCACTAAGTGCAAATCAGAGAATTAAAACAGGGCAGTGTGAGGGGCTCCTGGGTGGCTCAATTGGTTAAGCATCTTACTCTTGATTTCAGCTCAGGTCATGATCTCAGGGTCATGAGATCAAGCTCCACATCAGCCTCCGTGCATAAATAAATAAATAAACAAACAAACAAACAAATAAAATTTAAAAAAAAAACAGGGCAGGAGAGTGATTGGATAGACGGGGAGGAGGTAACACTTAAACAGAAATCTGAAATGGTCCTTAAGAACAGAAAGATGGCCTTGTGACTGGGCACAGGGATGAGGGAGGGTCATACAACAGAGGTGGGACAGGTGGGCATATCCAGGGCATGGAGGGCTCTGAGTCCCTCTCAAATCTGATGGCTTTAATTACAGTCCACATCACACCCACCAACATCACTGACCTCATAACACTTTAGACCTGAGAAGCATCCTCCAAGAGCAAAACCCAAGCGGCAGAGCTCCAGCCCCCACCACCCAGTCACTGGTGTCCCAGCCCCTTGGAGGGGCCAACTCTGGGTAAATAAAGGCCATGTCCAGGTGGTCCCCTGGGGTCATGAGAACCACAGACTTCACCATGGGCAGAGGGCTGACTTGGCATGGGCTTTGGCCCACACAGACCAGCTTCTGTCACTTAACCCAGTGGACCACCTCAAGCAAGTCACTGTTCCCACCACACGCACAAAGATTCCATCTCTCTCAGAGCTCCTGAGAAAAACAAATGAAATCTGGCCCACGTTAGGCCACATAGTGCTAACTGGTTTATGGATGATTGGGTTTAGAATTGCTCCCTGTGGGCTAATCTCATAGCCTTTAAGCTAAACCCTAAGGACATGAGCCAGGATTTTCACTCCTCTGCCCTTTGTATGCTGCCAGACAAACTGTGAGCTCTCAATACGTGCTCAGCAAATTAAACCATGAATTAGGAATGATGCTGAGCATGTGTATGCAGGCACTGCTCTGAGGATGCCTGAAACTCCTTTAGCTCTCCCACAATCCCAGGAGGTAGGTGCTCTGGCTGCCTCAGTTTTAAAGAGGAGAAATTGAGACAGAAGAAGACTAAGTTATTTGTAGGATCCCGCAGCTGGTAAGGGCACCAGAGCCTGGCAGTCTGGCTCTTCTCAGCTGTCATCTGGAAGGACAGGAGAGCTGAACAAAGAAAACATCCTGTCTGTCTTCCTCCGATGCTCTCAGGGAGGCCACGTTTCCCAGGGGACTGTAGTGGGGGGTGTACTGGGTCTGGTCCAAGGCAGCTGCAGAGGGCCAGGTTACAGCAATGTAGGTCACATGCTCTAGCCTGGACAGGCCAGGGATCCGGCACACTCTCTGGCCCCAGGCTTTCCCTGTCACTGCTCCAGCATGCTGCAGCCTGGGCTCTGGATGGCCCTGGCCCTTCTGTTAGGCGCCCTCAGTGCAGGTGAGTCAATGGCAAGATCGGTGAAATAATGCTCATGACATCTGGGCTCATGCTGTGTGTTGGGACCTATACGACTAACACTAGCTTTTCAGATGAGGATACTGGGGTTCAGAGAGAGTAAACCACTTGGTCAAGGGCACACTATAGATAAGTGTCAGGTCCAGGTATGAACCCAGCCCATGGCCTTCATCACTGCTGGGTCAGTGCCCTAAAGGAAGGGTGGAAGGCACACACCACTGGCCTTCCTCTTCTGGGTTTCTCTAACCTGCACTTGTGTGTGTGTGTGTGTGTGTGTGTGTCCCCTCCCTCCATCTCCATGCTTTCACTCTCTCCCTCACCTAAGTGAGGCTGCCTTCTGTACACAGCCTTTTCATCCCTAGGTTCTCAGGGATCACTCCCTCTCTGGTCCCCTCATCCTTCTACTCTGCCCCTTCTCTTGAGTCCTGGAATTACATGCAGCCTGAGTGGTTTTGTATGCCCTAATGGGTATTAATTTCTCTTTGTGAGATGTCTGCCTCTCTGGGCCTCGTGTGAAGCAAGTACTTATAGTTGGCTTTATCAAATGAAAAATACATACATCTTATATAATCTTATAGCATATATAAATATATACATATTAAATATATAAGTCATATATATCAAATATATATGTCATATATATATATATATATATATATATAATGTATACATGATCTTTTTCATTTATTGTTCACAATCGTCTGAGGTAGGTTTCATGTCCGAGTATAATATAATAAAATTGAGGTGGACAGAAGTTGCTAACTGGTAGTAGGTGGAAGAGCTGAGATCTGAGCCAGGTCTGTCTGACCACAAAGCCTGCGGCTTCCCTTCAAGAACCTGGAGCTTCTTAGGGTTGCCCACAAGAATTTGCTGAGCACTTTTGAGGCAAAGCTCAGGCAGCTCTTCCTTGGGTCTTCAGAGCAGCAGTTTTCAGGTGTGGGGGTGGGCATAAGAGCACAAAGAGGGGCCCCACATCAGGCCTCATGAACTGTGAGGGAGGCCCAGACAGGAGCCCTGCCATACCCCGCCCCCCATGCCAGTCCTTCCACCAAGGCCTCGGGGTCACTCTGGACAGTCATGTGACCTGAGTCCCCACTTCCCCACATGTAAAATGAGAGGGTTGACCAGATGAAATGTCAGTTCTATTATTCTATGATGCTGGTTGCGGGGCACACCAAGCACCTGACATTCGAGGAGGCAACGGTAACAACAAAGCCATGAGTCTTCCTCACAGTGTCAGCTTTCTGGGGCCTTGGCTGGGGGAGCTCTAAGCCAATCTGTGGCCCTGTTCCACCTGTGCTTTCCTGTTCCCATGTCTTAGGCTGGCCGTATCTAAAAGAACCATCATCCTCAGCACCAGTCATTGTGCCCCATGTCCTCAGTGAAGACCCATTTGTTATGACAGTTTATGGGTCATTGCAAGCTTTTGCTGAAGTAACATCATCACAGCAGAAGGTCCAGAGCAGAGGGGCTCTCTAGAGACAAAAGGGGAGCAGTGCCCTCACACCAAGCCTGCTGATCCTCTCCTTTGCTCTCCACAGGGACTGCTGCCCTCTGTCTCCACAATGGGGCCCAGTGCTACTTGTGTTTTGTCCCTGCCGGCCAGGCCACCACTCCATGGCTGGGAGCTGCCTGCAGTGCCCCAAGGGCTTTCAGTAAGGAGCAGACACCCTTGTGCCTCAGGAAGAGAGGAGGGAAAGGGCAGGAAGGGCAATGCAGCAGGGCAAAAGTTTCGGGGAGGTGGGAGCTGCCTGCTCTCTAGAGGAAAGGGATCCTGTACACGTCCCTTCCATGGTGGCCCTGAGTGTGATGAGCTCCCAGGGGCATAAGCCCAAGAGCCTGGTGGTTGATCCCCCAGAGCCTGCCCAGGACACTGTCTCTGGACCTCTGATCT